GTCTGTCTGTCTGTCTGTGTGTGTGTGTGTCTGTGTGTAGGCACATACATGTGTGTATGTGTTTCTGCGTGTCTCTGTGTCTGTGAGTACATGCGTGTCTGTCGAGGGTGTGTGTGTAAGAGCCAATTTATGCTTGATCCCAAAATGTGGTCAGAGGCGCCGAATGGATGGTGTGACGTGATTGCGAAGCGTCCGGAGGCACTGGGAGGCCAAATCAAGCTCCGTACCGCATCGCTGTGTGCCTCTCAAATTCTATAACAATGCAGAGGGCTCCGTATAGCTCCACATTGACATGATTGTTGACGGTAGGTGAGGGCGGGAGGTCCTGTATAAACGCAAACTCACTTCCTTGACAACTTCCTTCACAACAGCTCTGCGCTGCTTGGCGAAGCTCAAGAAGTATGAATGCCCTGACTTCTGCAGAGGCCATATCACCGTAAATGCTGCACGGCCGATGCAGACGGTGGATTGATCATGCAGTGCCTTTAAGAGAGAGAGAGACAATGAGAAGGAAAGAGAAAAAGCCTGTGTGTGTTTGTGGATGGATTTGTGTTTGTGTGGATGGGCACATATTGGCACAAGCCAAGCCACCAGTTGGCCACATGAAGGGATGTCTTTGGGAGGCAGAATTTTTATGTGGAAATGGGAACAATGATTTCTATTTAAAAAAAATATGGACATGAAGCAGGGGCCACATAACAAGGGGCCAAAACTGATTAATTAATAATGAATCCACCACTGCTATGCATGTGTATGCATACATGTGCACTTTAAAATGTATGCCAAACAAAAAACATTGATTTCAAAGTTTAACAAACCATACAACTCTATGCACAAGGACTACTTTTAAGAATTTACACTGAACCTTTTACAAAATCACATTTACTGGAAGAACTATGCAGATGCAAAGTTTGGTATTAGAATTTCGGTAAAATATCCCTCTGTTTTTTGTGACCACATTTTCCAAAAACTCTGTTAAATATCCACTCTGAATTAAGATTAAAAGATGTCTGCAGCTAGAATGGGGTGCCAGCTATGACATGACACCTTGACTTTGAAAAAAATTGATTTTGGTTATTGAACAGTAAGTAAAGTGGATTTACACCCGTTAACAGAATTGGGTTAAGGTTAGGGTCATGGGTCCCTGATCTGTACTATACATAAATGCATAATATGAATGTTATTTTCTTCATGGTGATATATCCTAAATAGGTACACAAAGGTAGAAATATGCAATATCCTCATTTGCATATTTGAGTATTATTCTACACATTGGCTACTATTTTAATGAGCTCCGCCCCCAAACAAGACCACATTTGATTAGTCTGGACTGGACCAAATCAACATCTGTGGACGTTGAAATCAAGGCCAGAGCAGACTGACCAAATTTCAACTACTTTTCAACGTCCATGGACGTTCGGGGTCCGCCGGTGCTCAGTGGGTACGGATGCTGGTTACAGTAAATTAAAAGAAAGGGGGCTCATGGGTAGTTGTCAGCAAGAGCCGGGATCACTGGCGTAGCACATACCCCTGTAGCCCTTGCAAGGTGGGGGGCCCACGAGCTTAGCATATGAACACGTCATAAGCCATTATTATTATGTTTTATTACAGGAAACAGCACAATTATCTCTCAGCCTCATAGCAAAATGTGTACAATAGCAGGAAATTATCTCAGGGAAAATCCTTGTCCAGCAGGGAAACTTTATTTTTATAGTACAACATTTACATTTAGGGGAATTTGTTTGTTTTTGGAATTTTCAAAATACTTTCAATATTATTAATTTCTATGTCGGCTCTATGCCTGGAAATGCCCTTATTCCTAATATTTAGGATTGAAAATGGTTGAATAATGTATATATATGCCTTAATATATATTTTTTATAGACTCTTAGCTTTCATTTGATGCCAGATTTGACATGCTCCTATACCCTCCACTGTCCTCAGGGCCCCTAGCTAGCCGGCCTATACCCTCCACTGTCCTCAGCCCCCTAGCTAGCCGGCCTATACCCTCCACTGTCCTCAGGGCCCCTAGCTAGCCGGCCTATACCCTCCACTGTCCTCAGCCCCCTAGCTAGCCGGCCTATACCCTCCACTATCCTCAGGGCCCCTAGCTAGCCGGCCTATACCCTCCACTGTCCTCAGGCCCCTAGCTAGCCGGCCTATACCCTCCACTGTCCTCAGGCCTCTAGCTAGCCGGCCTATACCCTCCACTGTCCTCAGGCCCCTAGCTAGCCGGCCTATACCCTCCACTGTCCTCAGGCCCCCTAGCTAGCCGACCTTTACCCTCCACTGTCCTCAGGGCCCCTAGCTAGCCGGCCTGTACCCTCCACTGTCCTCAGGCCCCTAGCTAGCCGGCCTATACCCTCCACTGTCCTCAGGCCCCTAGCTAGCCGGCCTATACCCTCCACTGTCCTCAGGCCCCCTAGCTAGCCGGCCTATACCCCCCCACTGTCCTCAGGGCCCCCAAACTAGCCAGCCTATACCCCCCACTGTCCTCAGGGCCCCTAGCTAGCCGGCCTATACCCCCCACTGTCCTCAGGGCCCCCTAGCTAGCCAGCCTATACCCTCCACTGTCCTCAGGGCCCCCAAGCTAGCCGGCCTATACCCTCCACTGTCCTCAGGGCCCCCAAGCTAGCCGGCCTATACCCTCCACTGTCCTCAGGGCCCCCTAGCTAGCCGGCCTATACCCTCCACTGTCCTCAGCCCCCTAGCTAGCCGGCCTATACCCTCCACTGTCCTCAGGGCCCCCTAGCTAGCCGGCCTATACCCTCCACTGTCCTCAGGCCCTCTAGCTAGCCGGCCTATACCCTCCACTGCACAATGAGACACACAATGAGGAAAACAGACCAGCTCTCCCAAATCAAAGCTAACCGAGCTATATAAACAGAAAGCACTCAGAGAGAGAAGAGGGAAAAGGATCTGAGAGGAGGGGAATGAGGGGATGTAGGATGAGGGAGGGCAGTTATACACAAATTGTCTTCATCTGTCTCCATAGCTTTTCCTCTCTAAATCAGTATCTGGGGAAGATATCTATCCACAGATACACAGTTAGTAGTGGAAGAAACAGTAGAGTTCCTTGCCTTCCTCTCTGGCACTGAAGGATTGGATCACAACTGAGACCTATTGTTGAAAGAATAGGAAGTAAATGATGGTTGGGCAATGTCCTATTGTCTCCACCATGTCTAGTAACATAGTTATCCTTTATGTTTGTGTGAAGCAATACAGTACTGTTTCTTTGGATGCACGACACTGAAGCTGTTTGACTATGTGTGAGAGAGAGAGAGAGAGAGAGAGAGAGAGAGAGAGAGAGAGAGAGAGAGAGAGAGAGAGAGAGAGAGAGAGAGAGAGAGAGAGAGAGAGAGAGAGAGAGAGAGAGAGAGAGAGAGAGAGAGAGAGAGAGTCCTCAGGCCCCGTCTGGCTCTGATTTAGAGGATAGTAATGCGATTAGCATTGTTTAGTTTTCACAGCTCCAGCCAGCAAGAGTCTCAGGGAAGGCCCTGTGTGTGTTCATGTTTACAGTATTATTGTTCTGTTATTTATACCTAAGAGGTCCACATCTTACACAGTTATTCTCCCTCTCCTTTTTCAACACTCGTTAGCTCTGTTTCTAGATCATTGGCTTGGGTTGTAGATGGACATTTATTTGCAAGGCTTTCATACTAAGCTAAAGAACACCCACAAACTACAGAGAACCATAGTGTATAATGTAGTGGTAAGTGAGGAGAGGAAAACTCATCAGAAATACAGACCTGATGTATCTCTTTATTCTCTACTCCAACTCTCAATGGCGGGTGACTAATGACAGCCATGAGCAACTTTAAACACTCTTTGCTCTGAGGCAATATAGTGGTTAATTATACAGCAGAGTTTTTAAGGCTGGGCTGTAACAAAAGCCTGCACCACTCAATTCGTGGCAGCAGGGGTTAGGGGATCTCTTCCAAACCTGACAAACCTGTTCTATAGAATAGCTACCTCTTATTACCCTGCTAGCCCAACCCATCCCACCTATCCCTCATACAACGAGTGCCTCTTTTACAGCGTTCAATTTGGGTTGATCAAACAACCATTGACCTGTTTTATTGCAGGTATTAGTGAGTAGGTTGACGTGTTGCCCCAGCCTTCTATACACTGTCTTGTCTTGTCTGTCTGCTGTATTGAAGTCTTCTGCCCGGTGTGTGTGTGTGTGTGTGTGTGTGTGTGTGTGTGTGTGTGTGTGTGTGTGTGTGTGTGTGTGTGTGTGTGGTTAATGAGGCTAGCTCATTGGGTGTCTCTTCCATAGTTGATAAGGTTCTAATAGATAAGGTTTTATCTGTTGCTCCCTCTATCTGCTTTACAGCCTTGAAGGAACTGGTCCACTGGGAGAGAGAGACCTTCACACACACAAACGCACACATACACACACACCTGGACAGATATCCATGGGCACGTAAACACAAACACAGACAAACCCACATGTTCACACACTCAAGACAGACGGACAGATAGGGAGTCATGAGCCAACTGGCACGTTGTTAGCAACCCCCGAACTGCAAACACTTTGTTCTCCCTGCAAAGCCATATTTTCTGTAGTAGCATACAGCCCACGCACGCACACACACGCACGCACACACACACACATTCTCTGATCATCTCTATTTCATGGAGGTTTTATTCTGGCCAGTGTTACCAAGGGTTAAGTACTGTTGAGATGATGTCATGGAACAATATAATGATGTTGTGGGTTAATTAAGTTTACCTCTCCCTATTACTGTGTGTGTGTGTGTGTGTGTGTGTGTGTGTGTGTGTGTGTGTGTGTGTGTGTGTGTGTGTGTGTGTGTGTGTGTGTGTGTGTGTGTGTGTGTGTGTGTGTGTGTGTGTGTGTGAGCGAGGGAGGGAGCTTGTATTATTTGTGTCTCACTAATCATCTTTCTCTGTCTCTTCCCCCCCCTCGCTACCCCCCCCTCTCCCTCTCTCTCATCTCTCTCTCTCCCATCTCTCCCTCTCTCCCATCTCTCTCTCAGGCATCATCAAGGTGGGTCGTTGGAACCCTCTGCCCATCCACTTCCTAACAGACTCTCCTGAGGCCACGGTGGCTGACATGTTGCTGGACGTCTATCATATGGTCACCCTCCGCATTCAGCTACAGAGGTGTGTGTGTGCATGCATGTTACTTTCTGTAGAGGGGTGAGGAGGAAAATGTGGTGGGCAGATATAGCTTTAGCTACACAGCTTATAAGCTTACAGTGACATAATTTATTGAAAGGCTTTGCATTTCCACTGTTTAGAAATAGATTGATTTTGAAGATACTACAACATTCCAGCTGTTGGAATAAAGTTGGAGTATTTCAATGTTATTGAATCAGACAGAGTTCCTTTGGGTGACTGATCTCATCTTGGCATATTCTACATTTTCACTATAGGCCTCTGTAGTTCAACAGTTTACCATTGTGGAGCATTAGGTTTAAAATCTAAATTGGGCACGATCCAAGGAGGCAGCTATCCCAGATCCCAGTATCAGAGATTTATCTATTATCTGCCTTTCTCTCCAAGAGGGCTTTCATGCCAGTAACTTGTACTTTCCCAAAGAATCAGTGAACATGGCCCTGATAGCCAGATAAACAGAGATGGATAGACTCCAGATAAGTGGATTGTGGTCCTTATTGTGTTGTCGCATACCGTCCAGCTTTGTTTACATCTGTCTCCATGGTGATGGTATTGCCTGACATGTATAGTATTGCCACAGATAGAACAATGAGCCAGATGATTCACCGGATTTATGAATCTGAAGCATCCCTATGGAATTTCTACACCACCAAATATGGTGATGAGAGAAAGCCCAGTGGCCGGCAGTGGGAGAAGATGGAGTGAGATGGATTTTGGCCGACGTTCTGCAAAACTTCTCATGAAAGAAACATTTGATCTCAATACAGTCTTCTGTTCCCCAAAGTTTTTTAAAAATTGCATTGCTTAGAAAGAGTGCAAGGGCGAATTGAGTTATTGCACACACTCATTTCACAGAGAAGACGTTCTCTAACGGAAATATGCAAATACATGCTAGAATGCGCCAATAGGAGTTCGCTAGCTCGTGATTGGATCTGCCCACCTCCTTGCTTGTTTTGCCCACTATGATTAATTTGCTCCCATTGGAAACAACAGGCTGTCGTCTATCTTGGGTTAGTTATAAAAATCTTTGGTATTGCCCTTAGCGACTGATGTGAGTTGAGGCAAATAAATAGGTAGTTTGTGGGATAGTACAATATCTGGATAGGATAGTGCATTCCAATTCCCTAGTTATTGACTAAATAGTTATTCAGTTATGATGTAGTGATGAACTTACACAAAGCTGGTGCAACCTAGCCTGGTTAAACCAGACTGAATGCAGTATTCAGTCTAGATTAACCAGGCTAGGTGCAACCAGCCCCAGGACAGGAAGTAGGAAGTGACTGACTTTTTCTATGGTTCTGTAGCTTTGCCAAGCTAGAGGACCTTCCGTCAGAGCAGTGGAACCACGCCACGGTGAGGAACGCCCTCAAGGAGCTTCTCAAGGAGATGAACCAAAGCACACTGGCCAAGGAGTGCCCCCTCTCACAGGTGATACTGAACCCCTATAAAACCTCCACAACACTCCAATACTACCCTGATCTGCTCAATTCTCTCACAATCAGGGCTCTAAAGTATGACCATTTTGGTCACGTAACACCTTCCTAATATTGAGTTGCACCCCCTTTTGTCCTCAGAACAGCCTCAATTCGTCAGGGCATGGACTCTACAAGGTGTCGAAAGCGTTCCACAGGGATGCTAGCCCATGTTGACTCCAATGCTTCCCACAGTTGTGTCAAGTTGGCTGGATGTCCTTTGGGTGGTGTACCATTTTTGATACACACGGGAAACTGTTGAGGTTGAAAAACCCAGCAGCGTTGCAGTTCTTGACACACCCAAACCGATGCGCCCATCACCTACTACCATACCACATTCAAAGGCACTTAAATATTTTGTCTTGCCCATTCACCCTCTGAATGGCACACATACACAATCCATGTCTCAAGGCTTAGAAATCGTTCTGGAACCAGTCTCCTCCATTTCATCTAAACTGATTGAAGTGGATTTGAAAAGTGGCATCAATAAGTGATCATAGCCTTCACCTGCATTCACCTGGTCAGTCTGTCATGGAAAGAGCAGGTGTTCCTAATGTTTTGTACACTCAGTGTATTGTTGTGCCTAGAAAGAAATCTGCCAGATAGTAATTGTTGTAATGATTAGGCTTCGCTGTACCATTGTTTCTGAGAGCCCTAGAGAAAAAGCAAGCACAGATTCGTGACCGTGATGGTTGCACCATTACTAAGAGAAAACCTCTTGTTTAAAAAGATGTGACCCATTAGCTGCGCTACGTTTTTTCCCTTCTATTGCGCATTGGTGCTGCAGTTGATGCATCTCCATTGGCGGGCCGCATTTTATATTCATTAACCATGACGCGTGCGTTCTAAAACTACTCGCGGGCCGTTAACACTTTGGGTGCGTTCGTAAATTCAATCTGGAGTGCCAGAGTGCGCTCTGGGTGTTCGTAAATTCAGAGCGTTGTCAGATTGTCCGTTCGTAAAGTGCACACTGGACGCTCTGGCCAAGGAGTTGGGTTGATCCGAGCGTTCTGACCTCACAACGGTAGTCAAGCACCCAAGCTAATTGGCTAACGTTGGCTAGCTACTTCCAGACACAAATGAGAGAACACCTCACTCTGACCATTTTACTCGACCTAGCAAAGCTGGTTAGGCTGTTTTCATGTTATCCAGAGCGTTGGTGACTGTAACTGTGCTGCTGGCAACAATTTAATTACGCTTCTTTGCCGACGTTTACTGACACCGGCCATATTCAACTGGTGTTGAGCGTTCGTAAATGCATCAGTTATTCTGCGCTCTGGCACACTCACACAAGAGTGCTCTGAAATCGGAGTAGATAGCCAGAGTGAATTTACGAACGTAACATTTGTTAAGTCATGTTACCTCATTAGCTAGCTAGCTAACAACCTGGTAACTTTACCAGTGTATCCAAACATTAGGGGGCACAGAAAGAATGGAAAAGGCATAGCGTCTTCAGGAGATCAATCATCATAGCAATGAATGAATGACAGATTCACACGCCATCATTCAGAACCGCGCTGACACTCTTAAAGAGACAGTGTACAATTTTCAATGTAATGCATCTCAATATGAAACAACGCTTTTCACACAATGTAGAAACCTACAATTCCCCAAATGACTTTATATATGTGTGTGATTTATGTATCTGTGCATGCTGTGTTTAAATGGAGCTCAATGCGTGGGTGTTGATCCCTGCTTCAATTGCATCCATGTGTGTGTGGCTGCTATGGCTATGGGCTATATTTCAATGGGTGGCTTCCCATGGTGATATACAGTACCAGTCAAAAGTTTGGACACACCTACTCATTCAAGGGTTTTTCTTTATTCTTACTATTTTTTACATTGTAGAATAATAGTGAAGACATCAAAACTATGAAATAACACATATGGAATCATGTAGTAACCAAAAAAGTGTTAAACAAATCAAAATATATTTTATATTTGAGATTCTTCAAATAGCCACCCTTTGCCTTGATGACAGCTTTGCACACTCTTGGCATTCTCTCAACCAGCTTCACCTGGAATGCTTTTCCAACAATCTTGAAGGAGTTCCCACATATGCTGAGCACTTGTTGGCTGCTTTTCCTTCACTCTGTGTTCCGACTCATCCTTAACCATCTCAATTGGGTTGAGGTCTGGGGATTGTGGAGGCCAGGTCATCTGATGCAGCACTCCATCACTCTCCTTCTTGGTAAAATAGCCCTTAAACAGCCTGGAGGTGTGTTGGGTCATTGTCCTGTTGAAAAACAAATGATAGTCCCACTAAGCCCAAACCAGATGGGATGGCTTATCACTGCAGGATGCTGTGGTAGCCATGCTGGTTAAGTGTGCCTTGAATTCTAAATAAATCCAGACAGTGTCACCAGCAAAGCACCCCCACGCCATAACACCTCCTCCTCCATGGTTTACGGTGGGAAATACACATGCGGAGATCATCCGTTCACCCACACCGCGTCTCACAAAGACACGGCGGTTAGAACCAAAAATCGCCAATTTGGACTCCAGACCAAAGGACACATTTCCACCGGTCTAATGTCCATTGCTCGTCTTTCTTGGCCCAAGCAAGTCTCTTCTTCTTATTGTGTCCTTTAGTAGTGGTTTCTTTGCAGCAGTTCGACCATGAAGGCCTGATTCACACAGTCCCCTCTGAACAGTTGATGTTGAGATGTGTCTGTTACTTGAACTCTGTGAAGCATTTATTTGGGCTGCAAATTCTGAGGCTGGTAACTCTAATGAACTTATCCTCTGCAGCAGAGGTAAATATGGGTCTTCCATTCCTGTGGTGGTCCTCATGAGAGCCAGTTTCATCATAGTGCTTAATGTTTTTTGCGACTGCACTTGAAGAAACTTTCAATGTTCTTCAAATGTTCTGTATTGACTGACCGTCATGTCTTAAAGTAATGACGGACTGTCGTTTCTCTTTGCTTATTTGAGCTGTTCTTGCCGTAATATGGACTTGGTCTTTTACCAAATAGGGCTATCTTCTGTATCCCCCCCTACCTTGTCACATCACAACTGATTGGCTCAAACGCATTAAGAAGGAAATAAATTCCACAAATGTAAGAAGGCACACCTGTTAATTGAAATGCATTCCAGGTGACTACCTCATGAAGCTGGTTGAGAGAATGCCAAGAGTGTGCAAAGCTGTCATCAAGGCAAAGGGTGGCTATTTGAAGAATCTCAAATATAAAATATATTTTGATTTGTTTAACACTTTTTTGGTTACTACATGATTCCATATGTGTTATTTCATAGTTTTGATGTCTTCACTATTATTCTACAATGCATAAAATAGTAAAAATAAAGAAAAACCCTTGAATGAGTAGGTGTGTCCAAACTTTGACTGGTACTGTATGTATATATTTTTCAATGGTTGTTTGTGTCTGTGTGTGTGTGTGTGTGTGTGTTTGTGTGCAAGTGAGCGAGCATGCAAATGTATCCCCAATTAAACATCTCTCTCTCCCCTTCTCTCTCCTTCTCTCTCCCCCCTTATCTCTCCTCTCTCTCTCCCCTTCTCTCTCCTTCTCTCTCTCCTTTTCTCTCTCCTTCTCTCTCTCCTCTCTCTCTCCTTCTCTCTCTCTCCTTCTCTCTCCCCCCTTCTCTCTCTACAGAGTATGATTTCCTCAATAGTAAACAGCTCCTACTATGCCAATGTCTCAACTGCCAAATGTCAGGAATTTGGACGCTGGTACAAGAAGTACAAGAAAATCAAAGGTGCGAGTTCTGACCTCTGGGAACTCCAAAATGGCATGGACCAATTTCACTTTACTAACTGTCTCCTATCCTTCTCTAACCTATACCTTAGCCAATGATTACATTTTACATTTTAGTCATTTAGCAGACGCTCTTATCCAGAGCGACTTATAGTTAGTGCATACATTTGTATTTTGTATATAAAACATTTTATACTGCCCCCCGTGGGAATCAAACCCACAACCCTGGCGTTGCAAGTGCCATGCTCTACCAACTGAGCTACACGGGGCCCATATACTGGATTGGATTGGCCAAGCCATTTGAGTGAAAGCCTACTATTCGATTATTATCATGTTTCTGATTGGCCAAGCCATTTGAGTGACAGCCTATTAGTGGCCAATGGCCATTCCCAGTCCTGTCCTGGGCTGACCCCTGGCTGGCGTCTGAAAGAGGGAGGAAGAGATGATAATAATGGAAATATAAAGTAGGGGGCCCATGTCGCCTGTTAACTGACATCTCCTTCCCACAGCATTGGGAGCTTAGCACTGACTCTTCTTTATTAGAACCAGCTGATTCCTCCAGTGTAACCACAACCACAGGGGGTCCTACAGTACAACACAGGCCTGCCTCACAGACAGTCACACACAGACCACTGACCCCTCCTCACCCTGTCTGTATGTCTCTCCATCTGCCCATCCATCACACAATGCCTGCATGGGACAATTTTTACCCTACACTCCTGCCCCCTTGTTCCCCATCACACACACACACACACACACACACACGCACACACACTCCCCCATAGCTCTATAATTACCCTGCCAGACAGATCAAAGCAAAGCCCAAACCACAAACACAGAGTCACAGAGAGACCAGAGGAGAATAAAGTGATGTGGAGGGAGGCAGTGGTTGCCTGACAGAGTGAGTTGATGCAGTGTTGGGTTACACAGCCACTCCACTATTAGTTCTGGTCTCTGCCTGGCAGGGAAAAACACACGGTGTACGTTCACTAGCCTCCAGATGTGGACACAGGTGAGTAATGGGTGATCACCCATTGGCTGGCTGTCCTGTCAGTCATAGTCGAGGAGTGCGCATAGGTGTATAGGAGAGGAATGTGTGTACAGTATGTGTGTGTTGTTAAGTGTTGCCTCTCTCACCCTATCTCTCTCGTTTCCTAGGAGATTATCTGGAGAAGATGTGGCCAGGAAGAGAAAATTCAGAAATCAAAGGTGAGGAATCTACTGTTTGTACTGTTTCTATGGTTAACTGAAAATAGAATTTGGCCCACTATGTTAGACCAGCACCACACTCATCTCCCCTTCCTTCCTTCCTTCCTTCCTTCCTTCCTTCCTTCCTTCCTTCCTTCCTTCCTTCCTTCCTTCCTTCCTTCCTTCCTTCCTTCCTTCCTTCCTTCCTTCCTTCCTTCCTTCCTTCCTTCCTTCCTTCCTTCCTTCCTTCCTTCCTTTCCCCAGTGGAGAGAGACAGCCTGGCAGACTTCTGTGTCCTGGGCCAGCGTCCCCCTCCCCACCTGGCCAGCCTGGCCCAGCTCAACCACCTTGGAGGGGGTGGAGGTGCCCTCCTCAAGGGTGGATCTGGAGACCCCCAGAACCCCTCCCAACCCCCCCAACAACAACCCAACAACACCCCCCCTCGCCCCACGGCCAGCTCCACCACAGCCCCCCTCTTCGTGGCCAGGTCCCCCCTCCCGGCCCTCCAAGCTTCCCTTCAGCCTCTCCTCAGCCCAGGCGGGCTTCTCTCCCCCCAGCTTAGCCCTCAGCTGGTCCGACAGCAGCTAGCCATGGCTCACCTCATCAACCAGCAGCTCGCTGTTAACCGCCTGCTAGCCCACCAGCACCCACAGGCCCTCAACCAGCAGTTCCTCAACCACCCTCCCATCCCTCGGCCCTCCAAGGCAGGGGCCCCTGGGGACCCCGGGAACAACCCGTCTGCTGCGGAGGTCTCCAATGATATCTACCAGCACGTCAGGGACGAACTGAAGAGAGCCAGCGTCTCACAGGCTGTGTTCGCTCGCGTGGCCTTCAACAGAACACAGGTAACCAGACTAACAGAACACAGGTAACACAGTTAACAGAACACAGGTAACCATAGAATGCAGGTGACATGCTGTAACAGAACACAGGTAACCATAAAACACAGATGACATACTGTAACAGAACACAGGTAACCATAGAACACAGGTGACATACTGTAACAGAACACAGGTAACCATAGAACACAGGTGACATACTGTAACAGAACACAGGTAACCATAGAACACAGGTGACATACTGTAACAGAACACACGTAACCATAGAACACAGTTGACATAGGTAACAGAACACAGGTAACCATAGAACACAGGTGACATAGGTAACATAACACAGGTAACCATACATGGATGGCCTTCAACAGAATACAGGGCAGGAAACACACCAACTATGTAGCCACACATAGGGCAGGTCAGGGCAGGGGTAAAGGACTGAAGACACAGGGTGAAAGGATGGAATAATGTTAAGGCTGATGTCGCATTCAAGCTTTACACAACAATTTGGAGTATTGGGATGACTTTGACACAAGTTAGCAGTAATATTTATATGATTTGATTTCTCCTCTGGGGTTTCAGCCAGTTTCAGTTCAATCTCTGAGTGTTATGATTGAGGTAAACTGGTGCCACAGCTTGCTGTTTCCCCGCTCCAGTTCAGTTTCTTCCTCCGCCCTCCCAGCAGTACACACACCTGCTGTATTCACACACAGTCACACCCCATTAAAACCAATATGGAGCCCACATGAGGGGGAGGGAGGTTTGCGCTTTAGGGCTGGTGAAGTGTGCGTGTGTGTGTTGTGCAGGCATGCATGCATATGGTTGTACGTGCGAGTGCGTACAGTGTGTGTGTGCGCAAGCTGCGAGCCACTCATTCTAAATGTATACGTTTGCGGCGTGCGTGCATGTGTGTGTGTGTGCACCAGGGCCTGCTGTCGGAGATCCTGCGGAAGGAGGAGGACCCTCGCTCTGCCTCTCAGTCCCTGCTGGTCAACCTCAAAGCCATGCAGAACTTCCTCAACCTCCCTGAGGGGGAGAGAGACCGTATTTACCAGGAGGAGCGTGAGCGCAGCATGAACCCTCCTGTCGGCCTGCCCCCTACCCCTACCTCCAGCCCTGGGGGCCCCCGCCTCTCACAGGTACCCCACCCACCGCCCCCCAAATCTACCATAGACATTCTCCACTAAACTCCTCTACAGCAGGGCCTGTGTGTGTCTGGTTGACTGTGGTGTGTCTGTCTGTCTTTGTGCCTTGTTGATGGTTTATGTTGTCTGTGTGTTTTTGTTTTTGTCTGGTGGTTGTCAAGTTTTCTTTGAGTTTGCTTTGCTTGGTGTCTGTGCTGTTAGTATTGGTCTTCCACACAGGGTGATCTACCAAGTCAGGGTTAGAATAATGGACTGGGAAAGGGGATAGTACCAAAGACTGATCTAACCATAGGTACAGTGAGGGAAAAAAGTATTTGATCCCCTGCTGATTTTGTACGTTTGTCCACTGACAAAGACATGATCAGTCTAGAATTTTAATGGTAGGTTTATTTGAACAGTGAGAGACAGAATAACAACAAAATAATCCAGAAAAACGCATGTCAAAAATGTTATAAATTGATTTGCATTTTAATGAGGGAAATAAGTATTTGACCCCCTCTCAATCAGAAAGATTTCTGGCTCCCAGGTGTCTTTTATACAGGTAACGAGCTGAGATTAGGAGCACACTCTTAAAGGGAGTGCTACTAATCTCAGCTTGTTACCTGTATAAAAGACACCTGTCCACAGAAGCAATCAATCAATCAGATTCCAAACTCTCCACCATGGCCAAGACCAAAGAGCTCTCCAAGGATGTCAGGGACAAGATTGTAGACCTACACAAGGCTGGAATGGGCTACAAGACCATCGCCAAGCAGCTTGGTGAGAAGGTGACAACAGTTGGTGCGATTATTCGCAAATGGAAGAAACACAAAAGACTGTGAATCTCCCTCGGCCTGGGGCTCCATGCAAGATCTCACCTCGTGGAGTTGCAATGATCATGAGAACGGTGAGGAATCAGCCCAGAACTACACGGGAGGATCTTGTCAATGATCTCAAGGCAGCTGGGACCATAGTCACCAAGAAAACAATTGGTAACACACTACGCCGTGAAGGACTGAAATCCTGCAGCGCCCGCAAGGTCCCCCTGCTCAAGAAAGCACATATACAGGGCCGTCTGAAGTTTGCCAATGAACATCTGACCTCTGTGACTACAAGAAACGTCTGACCTCTGTGATTGCCAACAAGGGTTTTGCCACCAAGTACTAAGTCATGTTTTGCAGAGGGGTCAAATACTTATTTCCCTCATTAAAATGCAAATCAATTTATAACATTTTTGACATGCGTTTTTCTGGATTATTTTGTTGTTATTCTGTCTCTCACTGTTCAAATAAACCTACCATTAAAATTCTAGACTGATCATGTCTTTGTCAGTGGACAAACGTACAAAATCAGCAGGGGATCAAATACTTTTTTCCCTCACTGTAACTATATGTTGAAAAAAGGCACATAAATACATCTCATTGATTGTGTATCTATGTTTAGTGCGTGTGATGTTAGATGAAGAGATGGTAACAATTTTAACGTTTGACAGGACGTATTTAGACCGACCATCACTAACCATGTCCCA